ATAAAAAGTTCCCACTGGTTCGTGAGCATGTGTAGTGGCACCAGCGTAACAAATTTAGTCCGATGAAGTCGAAAACGACGAAACGCGTCACAAGAAAACTTTATTTCTATTTTGTCATACGTTTCCCCCGTTCTTTTTTTGTCTTTTTTTTTTGTTTTGTTTTTTGTTTTTGGGGGTTTTTTGTTTGTTATGTTTTTTAATAGAAAGATGCTCACGCGAATTCCGGCCTCGTGAAGGTTCGGAATGAAAGCTAAAAACAACACAAAAACAAATTAAAACGTACCAGTCAAAGTATGAGGAAAATAATAACACCAAAGACAACACAGCCTTGAAAATGGCTATAGAAGTGTCCGAAAGAGCTTTGTACAATGGAAATTATGGAAAATCTTTGTAGTCCCTTACTTCTACAAAACGGAAAAACGTAAGGATGCCGGAAAACATAATAAAAATTTAATCAAATCTTCCTTGTCTACCGTATTTTATGAAAGCTGTTTGAAAGAAATGCTGCTTAAATATATATATATATATATATATATATATATATATATATATATATATATATATATATATATATATATATATACAGAGAGAAAGCGCGAGAGAAGATGGGAGAGAAAATATATATACATATATAGAGAGGGTGAGAGAGATAGAAATATATATATATATATATATATATATATATATATATATAAGAGGGAGAGAGAGAGATATATATATATATATATATATATATATATATATATATATATATATATAAAAGAAAGAGGTTGTATAATGGTTCCAACGAGAGAAAAGTATGTATGTTAAAAAGAAGAGAAGAGAGGTGCCGCAATTCAATTCGACATTCGGATTACTAACACAAAAAACAGAGAATGTCTCATATCGAGAATATTTAACATTGAAAAACATAAGGAAAAAATTAATTATTTTTAATAATATGTGGAAATCTCCGCTTTTACCTGAAGACGGTCACGAGACCAGAAACTCGTGTAGTAAAATTATGGAAAATAAAGCATAATATTTTTTTTTTAAATCCACATTACAATCAAAAACGTTTGCGACACCTCTCTTCTCTTCTTATATATATATATATATATATAGAGAGAGAGAGAGAGAAGTAGAGAGAAGGAGAGAGAGGGGTGATAGAGAGAAATGTATATAGAAAATGTAGGAGATAAGAAGGTGCATATGAATATAATGAGATAGATAAAAAAGAGGATATAAACAAACTCTGATAGATAAATATACACATTTTAATACATGAGGTATGCATTAACAGAATATGGTAGATAAATAGATATGAACAAAGTGTGATAGTTAAAAAGATAAATAAATATAAACCAATAGATATGAATTGATTGGTTGACATGAACACAACGATGTCGTCGGTAAAGCAAATACTCTTTTTCTACAAGAATCAGGGACGGTTTTTTTGATATGACAATTACCAATGGAACTTGAATAAAATCATCGGCAATATAAATTTCTTACCTTGTTCATCTTTTTAAAACGTATTTGTTCCAAGATGGTTTGTATATGCAATATATTTTTAAACATCGGAAGCGACACTGACGCTTTCTTTCCGTTTCTGTTTTTTTTTTTTTTTTTTTTTTGAATGCTACACTTTCTGTATCTCCAACTTTCATAACAAAACGTCGTCTTTGGCGCCAAAGAATGATCATGATTTTTTTTTCTTAGGAGAATGAAAATAAAAATGAAAAAATACATATAATATTTCCTAAATTTAACGTATTTCTGTCTTTTTATACATGGTTTGTCCTTCTTTCTTTTTTTTTTCTTTTCTTTTTTATTCATCCGCCATCACGCTGGCTGTGACATAGAATTAATTTTTCTAGTCAAGTCGACACTAATTGGGATATTTTTACTCCATTTTGTTTTCTTCGTTTGTCATTCTGCTTTATTCGTTGTCCCATTGCTCGATAATAAAACAAGATTCTCTCTATATATTTTTCCTTTGTTGGAGACACTGCCGCCGTTTCCACAGTAACTGGGATTTGTTTGTTTGTTAATTTTAATTCTTTTAATCTTTTTTTTTTTTATTACAAGATGGAAGAGAAGTTCTAAGGGATCACAAAATTTCTGAATTGTTAAGGAAATTACAGATATGCAGTAGAAAATTAAATAAGAATTATTATAGAACTACAACTGCGCATGCGTCAAATATGTTGGCCGACAAGAAAGATAATTCATTATAATCAACAGTCTACATTTCATGATTCATTTCTATATCTATCTGTTATCTTAGTCTATGTCTCTCAGCCTACGCGCATTGTCGTATGTGATTCCCGTCAGAGAATACTAACGGTCATAATCGAATTTAATTTCAATAAGGCTTTTAAATGGAACATCTTTCTTCCGAATGGAAAACGAAGGAAATATGGATGGTTTTCCCCTGTGTCTATGGCATAGCGGATCTCAGCTGTAAATGTCTGAACTGGTGCAACCAAGGAATATAGCTCACCAATTATCAGTGAGATCAGTTCTGTACAACCCTGCTGAATGGCGTATACGAGCACACAATGGTGTTTTTCACATCAGCAACCGATCCAGTTTGTTTGACTTTATGAACAATTTTTTTTCAATTGCACTCTCGGTTGGTCGATTATGTTGACGAAAAAAATCGGCGAAGTGCGCGACATGCATTTCTGTTTGACAGTCCGTTTTCGTAATAGGCTTCGATAACTTTAACACGTTGTTTTATTGTTAATCTTTCCAAGGTTGAAATTGACAAAGGCTTAAGTTTTTAAATCTAAAAGAAAATTAAAAACTCATTAAACGTTTAAATTTAATTCACATTTAAAATCGCTCCAAGTTATTGGAACTCTCTCTCTCTCTCTCTCTCTCTCTATATATATATATATATATATATATATATATATATATATATATATATATATATAGATAGATAGATAGATAGATAGATAGATATATGTAATCAATATATATGTGATGTGCCTGTAGTCTGTCTATTCGTCTGTTCTAAGAACTGAACTGTTGGATTCTCATATGTTTAACATGACGGGAGAGTCCATTATATATATATATATATATATATATATATATATATATATATATATATATATATATATATAGTAGAAGGCAGAAAGGGAATAAAATCTTATCTAATAATAAAGAAAGTACTGAACAAAGATAGAGATATAATGAAAAGCAGTTTGGCATTGTGCTTAAAATTGTGTTTCATATGCATAATGAATGTATAATTCCAGCAGAGATCAGAGGAAGAAGGAGGAAGTTAAGAAGAAGGATTAGCAAGAGGAGGAGAATGAAAAGAACAAGAACAATGATGAGGAGGAGGAAGAGAAGTAAAAGAAGAAGAATGAGGGAAAGAAGAAGAAGGAGAGAAAATGAAGGATGATGAGAAGAAGGAGGAGGAAAAAAGAAGAATGACGAGGAGGAGATGGATGGAAACTTTAACATGAATCTCAGAACAGACCAGGATATATCATGGAAGTGCTTAATTGACAGAAATGGTGGGGGGTATCCTGGATACATAGAAAGAGGAAACGATATCGGATGGAGTAAAAGGTCTTTTGACTGGTGACCAATGTGCAAAAAAAAGTAGTAGAAAGAGACCATATACAGTAGAAAATAGAGTGATGAAAAGAATGTTCTGCTTTTAAATCAAGGAAGAGTACAGCAAGTCACGGTAGTCATGGAAGGATTTGGTAAAGAGAACTAACAATGGTTGCTATATCAGGGATACATTAACTTCTTTATTCTCCAATGTACAATATACAAACCATCCTTTCCATTTTACAGACCACCAAAATGGTTAAATTTATTCATAATAAATATTACTGCATCAATTCTGATATCACGATGTTGTTCGATTAAATTCGATTAAGCAAAAGGTAAGTTTTATAACGTGTAATCTTTATTTGACTAAGATAATACTTAAAGAAAATAATATGAAAAAAGATACTAGTTAAACACCTAAATAAAATTTTATTTTAATTTAATTTTATATTTTCTTTGACATCTAAATAAATACAGGATGCTCAGTAAAAAAAGGAAAAAAAAAGCCGTAAATTCAGAAAGAAGTGAGATAACCGTTGAAAACTGGTGACAACTGATGTGACTGAAAAATTCAGGAAGAAATTCTGTACATTTCATCAATCCCTACGTCGGATGCTCTTTGAAAAGTATGTAACCTGACGCTCAAAATCAGTGAGTTGTTTAGCCATACCGGAAGACGAAAGACGTCTGCTAATAATGTTTAAATGACGATTCACAAGATCGAGCAGCAATTAACCAACCATAAGAGAACCAATCAAAGTTAAGTAATTACACATGAGTTGAATAAGTATTCAAGGTCATGAATATTCAAGAAATTTATTCAATGTCAATTAAGGTCACTTATTCCTGGAAAATAAAACAGTAATAATAAATTTGACGCTTTTTTTACTGGGCAACCTGTATTATCATAAATTATAATTTGAATTATATATACACACTATTTTTTGAAGATATACACCATTTATCTTTTGTCATAACTCTTTTTTATTTTTCCTTCATAAAATCTCTCTATATATATACATGTGTTGGAAGAGTGCTTTTGAGATCTTTCAGGGTAAATTGATTGTCGCAAATCACGTTAATTAATCAGTTATATTGTGTTCTGGTTTGACATTTGAAGGGAGTCTGTATATCTCTGTGCGTGTTTGTTTTATTTATATCTGTTTGTATACATATATACCTACATACACTTACAACCATGTTACATACCCACGTACATGCATACACACACGCACACAGTATACACATGCCTATCGATACATACCTGTGCAAACATAACACATACACACACACATACATGTATATACACATCATAGAGGTTTTTATAACATATATATGTGTACCTATATACATATACTCATATGTATATATACCTGTCTACACCCATATATGTATAAGTGTACCTTCATATACATTCGCGCACACACAAACATCCACACCACCAGATAGATAGATAGATAGATAGATAGATAGATAGATAGATAGATAGATAGATAGTGCGATGGGTAAATTGTCGCAATTTTATATTTACAATTTCGCGCATGCACATTGTTTTTGATTTTGTCGACTGCATTCTAATGGTGATTATAAAGGTGTTTGGAGTAATTTCTAGTTATGGCGACATTATGCCTTCATTCAACCTACCAAAGGGCCTCAGGCTCAACACGGAGGCATACACACCTTGAAGATGTAGTGCTGCCTTTGGTCAAGAGAGTGATTGCTGGAAGACCCCATATCGGGCAACAGGACTCTGCATCATGCACAGTCATGGATGTCACACAATTTCTGTGACCACATCACCCCTTACATCTGGCTACCTAACACCCCAAACAGCAACCCCTTGATTATTATTTGTAGGACAAATTTGAGCGTGAGACAATGAACATCAAAGATGAACTGAAGGCAAGAATTATGGCAGCATTCACTAACTTAAATAAGGAGACCATCCAAAAGAGTTGCAGGAGGTTCTGAAGTCGTTTAGAGGCAGTGGTTAAAGCCAATGGCGATTTTATTGAATAAATTTACTCGTTAGTATTTCAAGATGTGTTTGTGCAATTTTAGTAAATATATCTCTTAAAATATGGTGTAAGTGTCATTTTCATTTTTGCGTAATTTAGACGACAATTTATCCATCTCATTTTGCATATACAGGGTGTATCAAAAGTACTTTTACAAACTTTGGGGTCAGGCTGGCTCTTCACGCCAAAACAAGGACTTTACGGATGAGGTAACATTTAGAAGAGATGACATGAATTTACACAATCAACATTTGTAGGCGGATTGGAATACCCATGGTACAAGACAGGCTAGACAACAGCATCAGTTTACGATTACTGTGTTTGCTGGAATTGTAGGTGACTGTTTGGAAGGTCCATATGTTTTCCCAACACATCTTACTGGAGCTGTCTATAGGGATTTCGAACACACTTCCATTCCTGCTAGAGGATGTACCCCTGCTAATACGAAGACGTATGTGGTTCATGAATGATTAAGCCCCAACTTATTTTAGCCACATTTTCACAATACACTAGCTGAAATCTATCATGAAAGATGGATAGCTAGGGGTTGACGGGTTCCATGACCTGCACGTTCCCCCGGCCTCAATCCTTTGGATTTTTATCTGTGAGGCCACTTTGTTTATGCAGCAGACATTAATAATACAGACACGGTTCATCAACGTGTCATGGGGGCCTATTCGACACTGTGGGCAAGTATTTGAAGGGGTCCGCCGGTCAATGATCCGAGGGACGCATGCGTGTGTAGAAAGAAGTAGGGGATATTTTGAACGTTTGTTATGAGTTGGTGTGCTGGGGTATAACGATGGCGTTTTGGACATAAGTTTATACATTGTAACCCGGATATAAGAGAGTTGTCGGGACCGGAGAAGAAGTCTCTTATATCCGGGTTTTTCTTATATCCGGGTTTCTCTTATATCCGGGTTTGGTATATTTTGCAATGGTGAGTTAACCGGGTTTGGTCTATTTTGTTTAGGTAAGGAAACCGCCCCAAAACTTTGTAAAAGTATTTTGATACACCCTACAGATAGATAGATATTTAGTCATATATATATAGATAGCTATATATATATATATATATATATATATATATATATATATATATATATATATATATACAATTTCTCATGCGATCTAATATTTTTTTCTTTTCGGGTGATAAATTATATAAAAACTGTCCGAATGTTCTTTTTATCCGGGCGCTTTCGGCTATACATTTAGCCATTTTCAAGGATTAAATATTTTAACTGTTAAATAATAAAGTGTGATAGTTCCACGAAAACGCGAAGAAACAAGGGGTTACTGGGAGTGAAAAAGATTATAGAGGGAAAAGGAAATCAAATCTTAAACATAAAGCAAGGGATATACTTCTATTCCTTTTCAATAGGCGGAGGAGTGTAAACCAGGTGAATCTATCTACTCCCATTGAAAAATAAATAAAGGAAAGAAAAAATAAGTAAGAGAAAATATAAGAGAAAAATGAATAAGAGTAAAATGTCTAATAAAATTTCTGTGCATCTTTGACACGCCCAGCACACATCCGAGCGTGCATACATTTGTTCATATACACGTGTACATATATACACATATATGCATATACTTGAATACATCCGCATTCACGCATACCTCCATTACTGAGTATAATGAGGAAAAAGTATTTATTTTGCATAACGTATATTTTTTAAACTCAGTGATTTAGATCGAATATTTTATGGTGTAAATTTCAAATAAAATTCATCTACGGTTCTAAACTATAGATAGATAGATAGATAGATAGATAGATATGAATAGACAGACATAAATAATAGGCTTGGATAAATAGATAGATATATTAATAAACTGCGATAAATGCTCCATTTTTCAAGAATTATGTCATATATATATATCAAATGAACATTGAAGTCAACACTTAGAGGCGACACTCTTTTTAAATGCTGGACGCAATCGTCAGGCCACAGTACTTATTGGAAAGCGCTTAATATCAGTGATAGAGCTAACATAATTGTATGGATGTGAGTTTGTAACCCTAGGATTCACGCCTTTGCGATCCTCAGACAAACTGAGTTACAGGGTTACAAACTCACATACATACAACTATAGATAGATAGATAGATAGATAGATAGATAGATAGATAGATAGATATGAATAGACAGACATAAATAATAGACTTGGATAAATAGATAGATATATTAATAAACTGAGATAAATGCTCCATTTTTCAAGAATCATGCCAAAAATGGAGTACTGCTGCTATATTTGTTCTGGAACTGTCCAATCCGCTCTTGTAACTTTAACTGAGTTCAAAAGCATTTACTCCGTCTTTTAGGTGATTAATTATTTTCCATCCTAAAATCCATTTCCTATAGATTCAACATTACAAGCCTATAGCTACTTTCTCACTATTTCTATATGTGACGGTTACACACCTGGCCCAGGGGCGAATCCCTTGGTTACGGCGCCAACTGTGACGTCGTTCCTCCTGGTCGCTCCTCCTGGTTCCAAGCGTGCCGCTCCAACCCCTTGGTTAGATGATCACCAGCCTCGCCTTTCCCAACTCGCTTCCAATACCTGGTTACTGAAGCAACTGTACTGATCTCCGGTCTGTCTACCCACGCTGTGTTTAGATCTTAGACAGACGGGACCAGCAGGGATTGGGGCCGATACAAGTTGAGTCCGACGGGGGTGGCAAAACACAAGTAAAGAGAAAAAAACTCACGAGACAAAAGGATTGCTGATAAAAAAAAAAAGGGTAACAACCTTTTATATCTAATGTCCGTTACATAAAAAACAAAATTGTTCTCAATTCCCCGACCCGCTCTGTGGACTATGGCACCAAGCTTCTATCACACAACCTAAGGATTTCGAATTGCCTACTCTCTAGAATTGTGTATGTCGGGTGTGGTCTAGTTCGACACTGGGGCTAATTTCTGTCAATCATTCGCAGTTGATTCTTCTCTTCGACTTGAGTTGTATTTCTTCTTCTTCGTCGACTTAGATAGAACTTCTCTTGTCTTCGACTTGGGCTGGAAGGATTTCTTGTTTTTCGACTTGGGCTGGAAGGATTTTCTTGCCGCAACTCAGCCGCAACTCTCTGTCGTCCGAGGTGGTCTCTTCTCGCTGCCGTCCGGGGCTGAACTCTGCCGTAACTCTGCCACAACTCTTGGCGTCCTTCGAGCAATCTCCTTCTTCGTCTGCTTGGGCTGGAAGTTCTCTTGTCTTCGACTTGGGTGGAAGGATTTCTTGTCTGAGGATTCTCTTGCCCGCAAAGGGGCGAGTGAATCGGGCCTGATGCCCGCGTTCAGGCTCTATCCCTGCCCGCGGTCCAGCTGCAACTCTCAACTCAACTGATTTCTGTCGACTGGGGTCCTGCTTTTTATTGACGCTGCAGCAAACCGGGGTGGGTCTGTTGGCGTCAGGGGTTTCTCGATAATTCCAATAGCCGCATTAGTTCTGTTTCCCCATTATCGCTATTGTTTTCACCCCTACTTCCTCACAGTGCCTTTGGTGGGGAGGCGTACACCCATCTCTCCCGGTTTCTCGTATGTCAGGTGACCGTTTTTTTGACCAATGGTTCCTGATCGAGCATTCTTCCTCTTCTTTCCGCATATCACGTGACCGCTTTCGGCTAATGAGATTGTGGTTGGGCGCCTCCATCTCAAATCGGGCGTGGCTTACATCGTTCTTTTTTTTAAAAAAAAAAATCTAATTTTGCCCTTTTTTTCACGTACGAAAAATGACAATCTTGGCTTTTTTTTCTCACCTGGGCTCTGTCAAAACAGCCTGCCGCTAATTAGATGTGACTCAGGAAAGAATATTGGCGCCATCTGTGAGCTGAGACAATCGTTTTTTCACCTCCTGTTTTGTCAGACCCGACAGTCAGAAAATCTTAATTATCTACATTGAAAATGTCCCCACTTTATTATCGTGGGTTTCCAATTCTTAATAGGTCAGAATCTGTATACCGTTCCACCAGTCACTCCCCTCAACCCAAAAGACACTTTTCTCCGATTAAAAAAAATTTCGTTTCTATTGTTCTAAAAAGAAATTCCCCTTTCTCCAATTTGACAATGAGTCTTTCCACGCAAAAAGTAGGCTAGGTGCTTTGACCGATATTCTTATCAATCGTTCTTTTCTCCCTCTAAATGATTTTTCATTTCAAATAACAATTCTCTATTGTCTTTTAAAATTCAGCCAACACGCAGGCCAAGATATCTTTCTGACACCTATCTTGCTTATGACCGGGTCATGCATCATCCATCTCTCTTTCTTTTTTTTTTCTTTTCTTCCTCTTTTCTTCCCCTTCCTTCTTCTTTCCTTAGGATCGTCTAAGTACAACTCTAGTGAATTATTTTCAACTCAATTATTTTCCGTTTAAAAAAAAAATCAACAACCTGTTTAATAAACCGAGTAAAAAAAAAAATAAAATCATATTTCTATGAATATTTCTAATAATGCAAGGTGCCACAATCCTCCCTAACCGATTTGTCATTTACCCGTAAATGACACCTAAACCCAATTACATCATTTAACATGCACCATGCATTTGTCTCATGCAATTCTATTCTACTTTCTAACATGCAAGGGTAATGTTCTTTCCATTTTCTTTTGTTCTACATGCAATGAAATGTTCTTTTCATTTTCTTTTTGTTCTACATGCAATGAAATGTTCTTTTCATTTTCTTTTTGTTCTACAGGAAATGTAATGTTCTTTTCATTTTCTTCTGTTCTACATGCAATGAAATGTTCTTTTCATTTTCTTCTGTTCTACATGCAATGAAATATTTCTTTTCATTTTCTTTTGTTCTACATGCAATGTAATGTTCTTTTCATTTTCTTTTTGTTCTACATGAAATGAAATGTTCTTTTCATTTTCTTTTGTTCTACATGCAATGAAATGTTCTTTTCATTTTCTTTTTTGTTCTACATGCAAGGTAATGTTCTTTTCATTTTCTTCTGTTCTACATGCAAGGTAATGTGTGCGTGTGTCTGTAGGTGCAGATGTGTTCACTAGGGTTTGTTCTTCTTGGTCAATGTTTTCCTCTCTGCCGTGGGAGGTTTTTCCGCCGCACGTGGTGGTCTCACGCCAGCCTCCTCCATTGGTCTTTCAGCAATTTCTTCGCCAGTCCTGTCTGAGTAAGGAACACTGCTCGGCATCTCCCTCTCGAGTTGTTGCATGCTCACTAGACTGTCGTTCGCTAATTTTCTCTTACTCTTAATCTTCCATATTATTACACCACCGATGACTATAACTAGGAATGTACCCATTACTATTGACCAACTTATCGCGATCTGCTCATCGTCTTCCCAAGCTACACCTTCGTCTCCCAACACACTTAACTTATCTCTTAAGTGATCCATATCGATCTTTTCTATTGGCTTCATTAATACTGGCATCTTATTTAAGGTAACATTAGAGAATCTCTTCACTATCGGCTCCCATAATTCTGTACAATTGACTAAGCCTCTACCAATCATCTCTATGAATGAATCTTTTTCTTCATATCTTTCTTCCATCTGGTAATAGGGGGGCAAGGAGATGGACACCCCAACCGCCGAACATCCCATGGGTAGCGTCACCAGGGATAACGGTGGCCTTATTCTTAATGTCCTTGTGGACTCCCCCCACATACCCTAGACAGGCTGATATGTTTCTGTGTGGCTACTGCCCCACCCCGTCTGAAACACTGATAGCTTGTGGTAATGCCGAGTTTGTTAATACCTCTACTTGGCAAATTCTTTTGATTCCTTCCCCCTCCTTCAAACAATTCTAGTATGCACAGTCTGCGGTTACCAGTTTTATAGATAGGGCTCAACGAGGTACAAGTCCCCAGGGTATCATCTCTACACCTTCTAGCTTCTTCAGCTGATAGCAACATGAATTTCGTTCTCCTGAATTTAATGCTATGTAGTCTGCTTCCACCTTGTACCTTGCTATCATTCCTGAAAGGTAACAAATTCTCTTGTTGTTATTCTTCACAATCACTTAGTCTCGCTCGACTCATCACTCAATCATTTCATAACCTTTTTCTAAGTTCGGCTCTTCCCTCCCCTAACTAACCTCTAGCAGACAGAATGGTCCGGTCAGGTGTGCGTGGCGCTCACTCTAAAGGTCGTACTTCATGACACCACTGGTGATCAATCAACAATGCCAATGATCTTCTCCCGTCCCTTGTGAGGTGCAGCCCGTGACTCCATCCCTCCACTCACATCTACCATAGTCAGCCAATAGAATTTTGGATGAGCCAGTGTCGTTATCTGTCGACACTAAATGCTTCTATTCTGCACAGCCCTTTTTGTTCTACTGAGATTTGGGGTTCTTCTCCTCCCTGATCTCATCTTCCGAGGTGATTCCTGCTCAACCTCCACCCTTCCTTCTGTGTTTAACTCCCGTCCAGGAGGTTTTTTGTCCTCTTCTTCATCCCCTGATTCTTCTTTCTGTTTAGAGTCTTCGCCTTGAATGTCTTCAATACCTCTCGACTCTATGTCTAAACTTCTCCTGTTCCTTATCCTTTCCTTAAGCTGGGAAAGGGGTATTCGATCCTCCTCCTCCCACTCGCTGGGTCCTTCGTCCTGTTCAGGGTGTCTCTTTTTAGAGCCTTCGACTGCTTGATTGGACCTCTTCGTCTTTTTTTCTTCCTTTTCTTCGGACATGGGGGTGTGATGGCGATCTCACGGGGTCTTCTCTGCACTGACTCAGTCGACGACTGAACATCGCTAATCCCCGCTGAGGGTTCCAACTCTGTCACTCGGACTGCTTCGTTTATCTGGTCAAGTCGACCTATCTCCTCATCTTCTTCGGAGTCTTCCTCCATCTCCATTTCTTCCGGTTCAACCAGAGTTACCTTCTTTTTTCCTTGTCTTCTTAGGCCTCGGCTCGCTCATTTCCAGGTTAGCTATTTCAGCCTTCTTCAGATCATTGGCATGAACCCTCCTCGCTCGTCCTGCCACTTGATCCCATATTACATATGATACTGGGCCTGTCTGCTCTACTATCCGGTAGTACGGTTCCCATCTCTGGTCCAGTTTTCCTTCTCTCTGGTGGATTTTATAGTAGACAGGGTCTCCAACCTTCAATTCTACCACCTTTCTTTCAGCATTCACCCTCTCATTTCTTTTCTTCTGGGCCCTCTTTATTCTTCTTCTGGCCTGTAATGAATATCTTATGTTGCTGTTCCAGCAATAGTTGATGATGATCTT